GGATTTCCCAAGCATCTTTTGCTAGACCTTGAGTCTGAGGTTTCACAGTTGGACATACAGTGGTTAACTTGTGGCATAAACCATCAGCATGTTCTAGATCAATGAATAAACTACATTGTAAAATCAATTACAAAAATTAAGGTGCATATAGTGTATCAATGTTTTAATAAGTTTAAACTGTAGAAAAATAAAAACAGAAGTCCTTTCAAGTTTTACTCTAAAAACACAAAACAAAAAGGGAGTTCTCCGTAAGAGGCAAAACATGAAGTATACACAAGTGAAACATTTTGTGAAATATATTTTTAAGTTATTATTATTATTTTGAGACAGAGTTTTGCTCTTGTTGCCCAGGCTGGAGTGCAATGGCATGATCTCTGCTCACTGCAACCTCTGCCTCCTGGGTTCAAGTGATTCTCCTGCTTCAGCCTCCAGAGTAGCTGGAATTACATGCATGAGCCACACCCAGCTAATTTTGTATTTTTAGAGATACAATGGGGTTTCTCCACATTACGCTGGTCTCGAACTCCTGACCTCAAATACTGTCTCAGCCTTCCAAAGTGCTGGGATTACGGGTGTGAGCAATCACACCCAGCCTTAATTATTATTTACTAAATGCTTAGTATGCTCTAGTATTGTGCTAAATTAGCACTTTACAAATATCTCATATAAATATAGCTTTGAAAACCTAGGCAACTTTTCCCCCAAGGTCCTGAAGTTAGTAAGTGGTAGAGATGGGATTCAAATCCAGGTTTGTCTGCTTCCAAAGTTCTGCCTTTGTACACGGGCTTTATTAATTCTCAAAGAGAATGCTATCATTAAATGTTACCTCTAATAGCCACTAATTTGTAAGAGGCATACCAAAAATCGAGAAAAAAGTTTAGGAGACTGTTTTTTTTGAGATGGAGTCTCGCTCTGTCACCCAGGCAGGAGTGCAGTGGTGTCATCTCAGCTCATTGCAACCTTCACCTCCCAGGTTCAAGCGATTCTTCTGTCTTAGCCTCTGGAGTAGCTGGGACTACAGGCATATACCATCACGCCTGGCTAAATTTTTTGTATTCTTAGTAAAGACAGGGTTTTGTCATCTTGCCCAGGGTGGTCTTTAACTCCTGACCTCAACTGATGTACCTGCTTTGGCTTCCCAAAGTGGTGGGATTACAGGTGTGAGCCATCGTGCCTGGCTTATTTTTAATTTTTTTATTTTTTTAAAGAGATGCAGTCTCGCTATGTTTCCCAGGCTGTTCTTGAACTCCTGGCCTCAAGTGACCCTCCTCCATCAGTAGCTTGGATTAAGGGCACAAGCCACCATGCCTAGCAGGGGACCGATTTTTTAAATAAGGGAGACACAAAGTCAGGGAACCCTACATTCATAACTACTTGACTTGTGAATTCTGCTCATGCAATCTTTCTTATTGTAAATGAAACATACTCCCTGCTATTCTCACTAAATAACCACATAAATTCACATTCTAACAAAGGCAATTACAAGTGATGCCACTGCTTGGTAACATGCTTGATCAATGTCAAGACTGCTGGTTGACTTGATAGACTCAGTTGGCAGCTAGCTGTCATTCAAGAAATTACCATGGAAACATACCCTCTCCTAATATTAATCATGTGAAGACTTACAGGTGCATTCATATGCCAAGTTGGTAATGAAAAATTTTGAGACAGAAGATTCTAATATTAAATACCTTCAGAGGTCCTTGAAAGACAAAGATGTCTATAATTGCTATTGGTTAATTTTCTAGGATAAGAAAAATACATCATCAGACCAAATTTCATTGGATTTATACTTTAGGAAGCCTTATAGGATCCAGCCCATGCAGAGAAAGGTCATCCTTCTGATATAGTTTTTTCTGTTAAATGCTTAGTTTTACTTACTAAGTATCCATAAATATTTGCTTTTATGTTTATTTTCACAATGTATATGTGGCGAAATGAACGTCAATGTAAATACTATGCCAGCAAGATATGAGGACTCAAATGATGACAGTCTAATTTTAGCATATTATCTGAGGAGCACAATGCAAGTACTATTACCTATTCCTCCTTTTAAAACTAGAATACACCAGACATTTATTGGGGATGTATTATGTGTAAATAAGTGTGTTAAATCTTAAGAGAAATGAGGATATGGATTTTGTTCTCATAAATTAGAATGTGAGAAAATAATTTTTACCTTTGAAATATTCACATACCTGTGTAGTGTTTTACCAATTTCTGCAGAGTATCAAATTGTGCTCTGGTTGTGATATAGTAGCCACCATTGTCAAGTTTCCTAATTTTGTAGTGCTTCACATTGTCACCCCTTACCTCATCCCAATCACGAATAGAGAGGGAATAAGCACCTGGGTGGAAAATAAATATTTTCATTATCTCTTTCTCAAAATACTGTCCCAAGAAATTTTATACTTACACTAGTATAACAATATTCATACCTTTAGTAGTTTCACTCTCTCTTACTAAGAAAATACCTCGTTGATTTCCAGGATTCAGGAGTAATCTTTCAGCATCTTTTCTCCCCATTTTGCCAAAATACCATCTGGAAAAAAATTGTGTTTTGAATTGAAAAGTATGAGGTTCAGAAAAATTATACACAAGTGTCAGTAAGAATGGAGTGGGATAGGTTTGGATGACAAAGAATAGCTAGAGAACACAGCTCAAAATATAGCAAAATGGAAGAGTTTTATTAAATAGTAATATCATAAATATTACTGATAGCGTATACTCTTATAGTATTTCCATCTATTAACTACTCAATGTGTCTCTTAAAACTCCACCTGTCACAGGAACAGTAAATGGAGAAGGAAAGACAGCAAAATAACAGATCCTTTTTGCCAGAGACAAATGGAAATATTAAGACTACGATAGGAAGAACAGAAGTGGTTCCCTGGTAACAGCGTATTCATCTGTATTCAGTAAGATATAAGCATATCATACCCAAATTATTAGTAACTCGAAATGTGTGTGGGTTTAATTTATAAGTTTTGTGGGGGAAAAAAAAAAAGACAGTGTCACCGGGCGTGGTGGCTCACACATGTAATCCCAGCACTTAGGGAAGCCGATGTGGGTGGATCTCCTGAGGTCAGGAAATGGAGACCATCCTGGCCAAAATGGTGAAGTCCCATCTTTACTAAAAATACAAAAATTAGCTGGGCATGGTGGCACAAGCCTGCAATTCCAGCTGCTCGGGAGGTTGAGGCAGGAAAATTGCTTGAACCAGGGAGTCAGAGGTTGCAGTGAGCCAAGACTGCGCCACTGCACTCCAGCCTGGCAACACAGCAAAACTCCATCTTAAAAAACAAACACTGTCTGCTGTGTGCTGTGCAAGACCTCACAGAATACTGGAGAAGAAAGACAAAAGAACGAAACAGAAAGCAAGAAGCACCAAAGAAGAACAAAGAGTTACTGAGACACATTACATATCATTAATAAAAGCAAACAAACGTTGATAGAGCACCTATCATTGCAAGGTCCTGTGTTATGTGTTGTAATATGAAAATAAACTAGTGTTTATGAATCCCAGATAAACTGGTTTGACCTATAAGTAGTACATCACTGAGGGAGAATTTTGACTTTTTAAAAGTTGAAAAACAGGACACAAAACTCCCATGCACCCTACATAAACCCTACAACTAGGTTCCCCAATGGTTAACATTTCGCTTTGTCATTCTCTCTCTCTCTCTCTCTCTCTCTCTATAAATATATATGTGTGTGTGTGCATGTATATATATGCTTTTTTTTTCTGAATGAATTCTAAGTTGCAAACATGCTGAATTATTACCTCAAATACTTCAGTGTGCACTTCCTAAAAGAGAAGTATACTTTCCTACATATCTACAATGCAAGCGCCTAACTCAAGAAGTTAACAGTCGTACAAAACTAACCGAAGGTAATTATTTTTCCATGGGTATATTACTTTCGCAATCATAAAATGGTATTAAATCTCTGAAATAGGAATGTAAGTCTTTGTACCGGGTGCAGTGTCTCATGCCTGTAATCTCAGCACTCTGGGAGGCTGAGGCGGGTGGATCACCTGAGGTCAGGAGTTCAAGACCACCCTTGGCAACAGGCAAAACCCCGTCTCTACTAAAGATATAAAAACTAAGGCTGGGCGAGGTGGCTCAACCTGTAATCCCAGCACTTTGGGAGGCCGAGGCGGGCGGATCACGAGGTCAGGAGTTCAAGACCAGCCTGGCCAAGATGGTGAAACCCTGCCTCTCCTAAAAATACAAAAATTAGCTGGGCATGGTGGCAGGCACCTGTAATCCCAGCTACTCGAGAGGCTGAGGCAGGAGAATCGCTTGAATGCCTGGGGGTGGAGGTTGCAAAGGGCCGAGACCACACGCCACTGAACTCCAGCCTGGGCAACAAAATGAGACTCTGTCTCAAACAAACAAACAAACAAAAAAGATGTAAAAATTAACTGGGCATGGTGGCACATGCCTGTAGTCCCAGCTATTTGGGAGGCTGAGGCAGGAAAACTGCTTGAGCCCGGGAGGCAGAGGTTGCAGTGAGTTGACATCGCACCACTGCACTCCAGCCTGGGTGATAGAGCCAAGACCCTGTTTCAAAAAAAAAAAAAAAAATGTTAAGTCTTTGTGTCATATGTATGGTATGCATATAGACACCAATATACCCATCCCTACCAACACACCCCCGTACATAAACTGTAAGTTAACAAATAAGTCAAGGCAGGGAATGGGGTTAATCTGAAAATTTTTGAAGTGAGACAGTCTGAAAAATATGCAAAAGGTTTATAGGTACATATTTCTTTTTTTTTTGCTTTATCTGCCATCTAAATTCCAAGGTATATATTTCTTAAGTGAAAACATAAAGGAGAGAGACTCTGCATAAAGAAATATGATTGATGCAGATTCTTTTGTGATTCTACTCTAAGTGAATACTATGACTTTAGTTATTAATTTTTAAGTAACATCTATTAATATGATACATTAGCTGTATTAAGCCTGGTATGTAATTCTGTGTGTGTAAAGTTGTGGCTAAGTAGAATGTGCATTAAAATATTTTTAAAATCAAAATAATTAATAAAATATGAAGTAGTGCCATACTCTTCTGCCTGAATGGAATCTGCAGGCGCTACATAATTGCTTGGGATATAACCATTCTTTCCTGTAGCGATTGATCTTGCTTCCCACCAGTCTCCTTCCCTGCAACACACAAAACAGCAATCACAGCAAGGTACACTATTGCCCAAAGTACAATATACTGCAGTGCTATCTTGTATCTGAAGTAAACAAACGGTATTACTTTCATTTTTTATTTATGCGTTTATTGGATAAAGGATTAAACTCAAAGAATTATACTAAAAAATAGGTTACGTGAATTAAAGGAAGCATAATTGCATACTTCTGCTCCAAATAAAACCCAAAAACCCTACAAACTTTTAGTTACAAGATCTCTTTAACATAATTCTTTCAACCTTAGACAGACTATAGTGAATAAAACAATTTGGGAGATAAATCTTTCAAATTACTCAGTTTTGATTGTTTTCTTTATTATTTTTTATACTTTAAGATGTAATTTGCAGGCCATAAAATTCCCCCACCTAAGATGTACAATTCACTAGTTTTTAATATATTCACAGAGTTGTACAACCATTACTACAGTCAATTTTAGAACATTTTCATCACTCCAAAAAGAAACCCTGTACCCATTAGCAGTCATTCCCCACCCCCAACTCCCTCCAACCACTGTCAATCACTAACATGCTGTCTCTATGGATATGCCCACTGCATACACTTCATATAAATGGAAATATGTACATTTATGTGGTCTTCTATAACTGACTTCTTTTACTTGACATTTTTTAAAAAGGTTCATCTAGGTATATGCACGTATCAGTAGTTCATTCTTTATTGCCAAATGCTTTTCTTTTTACGGTACACAAAATTGGAATATTGTTTTTTACTCATTTTAGGAGAAAAATTGAAATGCTCTAACATTCCTGTAGCCAAACAACAATGAGCAACAAAGTTAAACACTGAATTTCTGGGCCAGGCACGGTGGCTTGTGCCTGTCGTTCCTGCATTTTGGAAGGCTGAGGTGGGCAGATCACCTTAGGTCAGGAGTCTAAGACCAGCCTGGTCAACAAGGTGAAACCCAGTCTCTACTAAAAATACTAAAAGTAGCCAAACATGGTGGTGCACGCCTATAGTCCCAGCTACTCAGGCGGATGAGGCCAAACAATCACTTGAACCTGAGAGGTAGAAGTTGCAGTGAGCCAAGATCACACCACTGCACTCCAGCTTGGGCGACAGAGTGAGACTCCTTCTAAAAACAAAACAAAACAAAACAAAGAAACAAAAAACTGAATTTCTGTCCCGGTGTGGTGGCTCATGCCTGTAATCTCAGCACTTTGAGAGGCCGAGGTGGGTGGATCACCTGAGGTCAGGAGTCCATGACCAGCCTGGCCAACATGGTGAAACCCTGTTTCTACTAAAAATACAAAAATTAGCTGAGCGTGGTGGCACATGCCTGTAATCCCAGTTACTCAGGAGACTGAAGTAGGAGAATAACTTGAACCCAGGAGGCGGAGTTTACAGTCAGCCAAGATCACGCCACTGCACTCCAGCCTGGGTGACAAGAGCAAAACTCTATTTCAAAAAAACCAAGAAACAAAAAACTGAATTTCTAGAGTGACGCATATTTATAAAAATGTTATCTAGAAATATTCCAGTAAGACTAAAATTAAATTATAATTCAGAACATGATAACTACATGTGGTTTATAATATATAAGCCCTCACTTTTCAAAATTAATATGAAAAGACCAAATATTATCAGTCTTTACATAGGAAGATAGATATGGGATTTGTTAGTAAAGATTAAATACATGTTTTGCTTCACCAGAGATTAAAAATATAATGTCTAAATTAAAATGTTATAAATGCCTGAGGTAAATGTGCTCTCTAGAAAATGAATGAAAAATCCCTCAGTAATTCAAATATTTAGAAAATCATACACTTGGTTTGTGGTTCCTCCTATCTACTAAGCACTTTCAGATATACAAACTGAAAACCTTGTATTTGATCCTGCTAAGCATTCATCGATTCATTCTAACATTTACTGAATACCTACTAAGTGACAGAATTTAGAACAGAATGTGCTGGAAACAAAAGTAAAAAGACTGCCCTTGACTTCAAGGAATTCATAGTCCAGAGCTGGGTTTTGCAACTTCAGCTCTATTGACTCCTTAGGCTTGATCATTCTTTGTTGTGGAAGGCTGTTGTGTGTATTTTAAGATGTTTACCAACATCCCTGAACTCTACCCACTAGAAGACAGTGGCAGCACCCCAACTGTGACAACCAAAAATGTCTCTGGATATTGCCAAATGTCCCCTGGGTGATTCTGCCCCAGGCTGAGAACCACTGGTCTAAAAAAATGACAAGCAAGTGATAAACTATAATTCAAAATGTGATGAGATCTATGACTGAAGTTTGCACAGGGTCCTACGTAAACACCTAAGGGAGATACTTAATCCAGCAGGGGATAGGGACTGGGCCAGGCATGAGGGGAAGAATGTAAGGAAAGGCATCCTTGATAAGAGACATATAAACTATATTTTGAAGGGTGAGTAGGATTAGCTAAATAAAGGAAAGAAATGGAAAGATGAGAAATAACATTCCAGAAAAAAAGAAACGTATGTGTGAAAGCATGAGAGTATGAGAAACTCCAGGATACTCAGAAAACTGCAAGTAATTCAGTATGACTGGTAGTAGAGTTAAAAGGGGGGAAAGGCACACAGCAAATTCTCAGTGAATGATGCCTCTTATCATTGCTTTCCTTTTACATTGATGGCAAGTGGTAGGTACTGAATGATTTTAAAGTAGAAGGATATGATCACATTTTATGTTCTGGAACAATAACTGGTAGCAGATGGGAACAAGGATGGAAGAAAACATGACTGGAAACAAAGAGACCATAAATTTATATTTTGAGAAGTTACAAAGTGGTTATTATGCTTGCTAATTTCTATTTTCTACAACAAGCATCAAATTTTCTACAGTGTACCTCTAGACATCAAGCATCAAATTTTCTACAGTATACTTCTAGACAAAAAACTCTAACAGTCACCTAAGGAAAAAGAAATAACTTAATTTCATCAACTGGAAAGTACATGGGTTCCTTACCCGAATGAGATAAGAACTGAATTGAACCAAAAAAAAAAAAAAAAAAAAAAAAAAAAAAAAAAAAAAAAAAAAAAAAAAAAAAAAAAAAAAAAAAAAAAAAAAAAAAAAAAAAAAGGAAAAGAATGAGATAAGATCTTTAAGCCATCTGGTACTTAGAAAAATAGGAGCGTCAAATTCTCTTCATAAAGTTTTTTAAAAAACTATATACTCACATATACCTGCCTCAATAACTCTTCATTCTTAAATCTCTACTGTTTATGGCAGAACCATAGCAGCGCAAATTGTAGAAGTAGTAACTTTGGGCTACAGCAGCAGTGTTACAAAATACATCTAAAGCAGCCAATGCATCGTTAAACCCAGTGGGAAGCCCATGCCCTGCCTCTCATCTCTGGATCAACTAGCTCAGGGGTTTCAGTGCAAAGAACAGCTTTCTCTCAGTATTTCTCTCACAAAATTGTCACAACACTTACGTATTGTTAATTATTTGAAATCTTTCACCCTTCTTAAATGAAAGGTCTTCTGTAGTTCTAGCTTCATAATCATATAAGGCCACAAATATAGTAACACCACCTATCAGAGGGAAAAAAGATCAAGGTAAATAATGCAGCTAAGTTAACAAAACAGAAAGAATGAACTATTGCCAGAAAAAAAAAAAAAGTTAGGGATAGTTTTTTCCATAGTCTTCAGAAACTATTTTTAGAAGTTAGAGCTACTGAAGAATTTTAAAGCAGAGAAACATGACCATATTTTATGTTCTGGAACAGTAACTCACTAACTGGTAGCAATAACTAGTCTTAAATTCTCTGAAGACCTTCCATGAAACTGCTGTATTTTTTTTTTTTTCTTTTTTTAAGAGACGGGGTTTCACCATGTTGGTCAGGCTGGTTTCAAACTCCTGACGTTGTGATCCACCTGCCTTGGTCTCCCAAAGTGCTGGGATTACAGGTGTGAGTCACCACGCCCGGCCTGAAACTGCTGTATTCTACAAATTATAAAAACTCTGCAGACTTGGAAAAACAAGTTTTAAAATTTTGTTTCATTTTGAAACAAAGTCTCACTCTGTCCCCCAGGCTGGAGTGCAGTGGTGTGATCTCACTGTAACCTGCCTCCTGGGTTCAAGCGAGCGATTCTCCTGCCTCAGCCTCCCAAGTATCTGGGATTACAGCCATGTGCTGCCACATCTAGTTAATTTTTTCTGTTTTTAGTAGACACAGGGTTTCACTGGGTTAGCCAGGCTAGCCTTCAACTCCTGGCCACAAGTGATTCACCCACCTTGGCCTCCCAAAGTGCTGGGAGACGTGAGTCACAGTGCCCAGCTAACAAATTTAATTTTGCCTCATGGTTAGCAACATCTCTGGCTTGGAAATGTAGTCAAATTTCAAATCAATTCTTTGATAGAAAAAGCACCGAAGAGCAATATAAACTAGTGGGAAGCTGTTCTTCAATTCGTATAAACAATGAATGAACAACTGCATCTAATCATTAACAGTAATAACTAAGGTTTTCGTAAAATTATTACATATTTAACTCAAAAATAAAGTCACGTTTTGTCTTAAAAGTTAAATGGTTTCAGACAGTGACAGTAGCTTACACCTGTAATCTCAGAACTCTGGGAGGCCAAGGCGGGTGAATCACTTGAGGCCAGGAGTTAGAGACCAGCCTGGCAAACATGGTGAAAACCATCTCTACTAAAAATACAATAATTAGCTGGGCATGGTGGCACACACCTGTAATCCCAGCTACTCAAGAGGCTGAGGCAAGAGAATCACTTGAAACCCAGAGGTGGAGGTTGCTGTGAGCTGAGACTGCGCTACTGCACTCCAGCCTGGACAACACAGTGAGACTGTGTCTCAAAAAATATATAAAATAAAATAACGTAAAATAAATGGTATGGCTGATATGAATTATAAAGTATAAATTCAAAAAATAAACTCATATTTAGCATTATGTGCAGATGCTTAAAAAGATTTGCATACTGAACACTTATTTGCAAACTAAATAAATAATAGAACAGATGTATACAACATGCATGACATTCAATGTTAACATTATTCAAGGCAGGTATTCTGGTTAAAAACTCCATTAATATATTAACATTCTTTTAAAAATTATATATATTTATTGTATACAACATGATGCTTTGAAATATGTACACACCGTGGAGTGGCTAAGTCAAGCTAATTAACATACGCATTCCATCACATATCATTTTTGTGATGAGTACAATTAAAAATTTGTTAGCTATTTTCAAGAATACAATACATTGTTATTAACTGTGTTCTACAATAGATCTCTTGAACTTACTCCTCCTATCTAAATTTTGTATCCTTTGGCCAAGATATTCTTGAGTATGCATATACTCTATATAATCCCACTGACTTGTCAGATCAATTTTTTTTTTTTTGAGACAGAGTCTCTCTCTCTCTGTTGCCCAAGCTGGAGTGCAGTGGCACGATCTTGGTTCACTGTAACCTCTACCTCCTGGGTTCAAGTGATTCTCCTGCCTCAGCCTCCTGAGTAGCTGGGATTACAGGCGTGCACCTCCACGCCTGGCTAATTTTTGTAGAGATGGGTTTCACCATGTTGGCCAGACTGGTCTCAAACTCCTGACCTCAAGTGATCTGCACCTGGCCTATATCTTTACTTGAATGTCTAATAAGCATTTAAAATTTATTACAAAACAAAGCTCTTGATTTTTCTCCTCTAACCTATATTTATTTACCCAAGTCTTTCCTATCTAAGTAAATGGCCCTACTATCTAATCAGGTATTCAAACCAAGTCCATTACTAGTGCTATCGGTTTTACTTCTAAAACACTTATCATTTACTTTCCATTTCCACTGCTGCTGCCCTAACCCAAGTCCTTGTCATCTCTCACTGGGGCTGGGGGAACTACTTGAGAGTGCTAGTCTCCTCATCTGCTTCTGTACTGCTTCTCTACCATCCATTCTCCACACAGCCGTCAGTCTTTCTCAAAAGAAAATTCAATCATGCAAATCCTTTACTTCATCTCTTCAGTAGTTTCTTCCTAGCTTTGAATAAAACCTAAACTCCCTACCAGAGTCTATGAGGTCTTGAGTAATTGTGATCTCCTAACTCTTCAATCCCATATAATACAATTATCCCCTCTGTTTACACTGTCTCCACACTAAAACTCAAAACTTCCTAGTCTCCCTGTATCTCCTAAATTTTGCATTTGTTATTCCCACTCTCTAGAAAACTGTTTCCCAGAATTGCACATAGATAGGTCATTCTCACTAATCTAATCTCTGCTTAAGGCCAAGGGTGGTGGCTTAAGCATATAATCCCAGCACTTTGGGAGGCCAAGGCTGGCAAATCACCTTAGTCAAGAGTTCAAGACCAGCCTGGCCAATATGGTGAAACCCCGTCTCAAGTACAAAATACAAAAATTAGCTGGG